TCTCAATGTATGCCAGAAACATCTTAAACTTGCAAAAAAAAGCCTCAATTTTAGAATAGAGAAAATAAATCCACTTAAACTGACTATAGTTATCAATCAATGTAACAAAATATTTATACTTGACATGAGATAAAACCAGTGAGATACCCCAAATGTCACTAATGAGATTGAAACAATGAATAGCTCATTGGACAATAGATAAAAAAAGGAACCATATTGCTTTTAACAAGTTTACAAACAACACAATCAAATGAGGAATTAGAAAAAATAGTTTTATTACCCAATAATTGACTTTTCCAAAAATTAGACAAAACAATAGAATTTGGATTACCTAACTTCCTATGCCAATCCTCATACGGATTCAAAACACAATTACATATAAATGACAAAATATTAGATAAAGAAAGCTAAAGAGAAAATAATATGCCCACTTTAGACCTCCTCACAATTACTTTCTCTACCGCCTGATCCTACACATAACAACCAGCACTAAAGAAGTTAAAATTACAATTGTAATCTAATAATTGTTCAAATGAAAAGAAGAATTAATATTTCTAATAGTACTAATAGAAAGAGCATTACCATCAAAATTTTGAATGTTTTGGGTGTCATTGTAAGTTTGAACATTGTTAGAGGAACTAGTCATGTAGTTAAAGGCTCCAGAATCGACAAACCAAGTTGGAGAGATAATATTGGACTTATCCTGAATACCTAAGGCAGAAAGAGTGAATATTACTGATTGTTGTACGCTCTTTGAGATGAAGGCACTAGTGCTGAAACCTGCAAGAGCAAAGGTTTGGCATGCTGGAGTAGTAGTGGTATGAAAGGCTTGCACTAGTTATCACTTTGGTCAAATTGGACATTCTTTAATAATGTGACCATGGTACTTACAATAATTGCAAAAATTTCTTACTATAGTTGTGAGCAATATGGCCAAATTTCTTACAGGTAAAAATATTGAACATGTCTCGTATCTTAACCATTCCTTTTATTATGAGCAAAATAAGCAACATAGATAGCATTCAAGACAACAAAGGTGTCAGTAGACATTGTCCCTTGAGTCAACAAATGTTGCTCTTCCCTAAGTAGTTCTTCAACACACACATTTAGAGAGGCGACTAGACTATGATTCAATAAAGTAGTGCACACAACTTCAGATTCAAGGCAAAAAACTTCAAGAGAAATTGGTCCCTCTTGCTAACTTCATAAACTTTTTGGATTTAAACGAGTAAGTCTATAGAATATCAACATGTAAAATAGCTGAATGTTCACTCTATAAATTTAGGAACCCAGAATAATAGTCTTGAATAGACAAATTTCCCTAGAGATAATTAGGAATGTCCTCCAAATGAAAGTGTTTGACAACATTGTCCTTGTTGTAAACACGCTTAAGGTGATCTCACATTTCTTTTGTAGTAGAAAAACAATGCATATTGTTGGTCATTTAAGGTTCAATAGAAGGTAGAATCTAGGTTATAATTTGAACTTCCTTTGTCTGTCATGCTTGCAATTCAACCTTGGTTGTTGGAGCAGGTGTAAATCCATTTACATGACCCCACAGGCATTTCCCTATCACAAACATATTGACTAACCAAGCAACATAATTTTTTCCAGTAAAATGAACATAGAAATGCTCTGCTTTCAAGAGCAAACGAAGATCAAAACACCAAAACTCAGTCCTTAAATGAAGAACAGGAGTGATATATCAAACGTTGTCATAAAAACACTAAGAGTGACACACCAGAGGACTGAGTATGTAACACTCCGAGTTTTGTAATCTATTTGATTATTAATATAATTGTGAAATTCTTATTAAATGTGCATTGATGTATGTGAATATATGGGTGTATTTGTAGATGAATATATATAAGTATAATTGTGGGTATTGATTATGGATTGATAGCTGGGTGTGTTTGAAATTGATTGAAAAATAGGCAAAGTGTGTGTTACAGGGGCATTCTTACTATAGCGAGAAGGCCCGAGGCGTAGGGCATGATTTTGTTGCGTTCTCGCTGTAGCAAGAGGCTCCTCGCTGCACAGAGAGGGCAATAGAGAAGGGTACATTTCTGAGTGCAGTCTCGCTATAGCGAGAGGGTCTCACTGTAGCGAGATTCTGCAGAAACTAGAGTGCAGATTCATCTGAGATTTTTGCTGCACCGAGAAGGGGTCTCGTTGTAGCGAGTGTTGCGACTCCTAGGGTATTTGAGAGGTTTAGGGTTCGGGAAACTCATTTTCCCACTCTTTCTCTTGATCCCTCTTTTGATTCTCTTAATTCTCATCCTTATTTAACTTATTAAACTGTCTCCAAAGTCGTTTGGGTGCAAGATCAAAGGTTGTGGTTGTGTTTTGGACGTTTGGAGATAAGTTTTGTGAGTTAGGGTTTCAATTTTCGTCCCTTTCTTTTATTTTCTCGGTTTCTCATGGAGTTCTCCATGTATTTAGGATGAAAATCCGTGTGGGAAACGTTTCCATTGTTGATTTCGTGTTAGGTCTTCAATCCGAGGTAAGGGAAGACTCTACCCTATCTCTTGTGCTTAGAATTTGTTGGTATGGTTATGTATTAGAATGTGAGTGATTGAAACATAGGAAGATGTGTGTTTTAATGAAAATGATTTGATTTTAGTGAGATTCAAATAGAAAAATTGTATGGAATATAATGTGGTTGATGTTGAGTAGTGTGAACGAATTGATTGATATAGGATTGTGATGAAAATATTGTGTGTTTGAGTGTAATATAGCTGAATATGTGTGGACATGCCGTCTGTTAATGATGAATAACATGAAATGGTTGAAAGTGTGTGAAAAATGGCATGTTGATTGTAATTTTGATTGTTTTGAAAATGTTAAAAACTATGAATGGTTATAGCGATACACTGAGGGTGTAGAAGATGGAGGTGATAGAAATACCTTAAGGAAGAAAGTGTGGCGGTGACACCAACAGTGAGCGTGGGTGCAACACAGGCCATACACTCTCCTCCTGACTCGGCCTCTGACTAACACCTTTACTTGGAGGCCCAGTACCGCACATGTATCCGTGGAATGAGGGCTATCTGGTGACCATCCATATGGTGTGAAACTGAGCAAGTTCCTGAGGTTGAGGGCATTAGGAATCTGTGATCACAGTGTCACAGTGAGCTCGCGGTGTTTTATGTGAGTTGTTTGATGGTGCAGTGAGCACACCTGTGTGTGAATGAGAATGGAATGATAAAATTATTATCTTACACTAGTTGATCCATGATTTAAATTATGTTAGAAAATGTGTGGAATGGGCGAGGTGAGACTCTATGCTTGTGTATGTGTGTGTGATAGTGTAGAGTACTTACCCTTATATTTAATTCTCAAGTAACCAAGACGATCAACACCAGGCTTAGTGAAGGGGATGGATGAAATTGCTATAGGACTTAGAAAATTTATATTGAAAACTATGATGTATTTATAGGTCCTATAACAATGACTTGATTCAAAATTTTTAATACATCATTATTTTGAAATACTTTATTGAACTATGTATTGGGAACCCTTTTGATGAAAATTTTTATTATTCCATTTTATTGCAAAATGAATTTATTTTGAAAACTAAATTAAGGTGTTACAGAGTACCAAACAAATGTTAAGAAACTTTGACTTCTTCCTTTTTTTCATCGTACTCCTTTATATAAATAATATAAAGTTGATTTACAATAATTAATTACAATTAATTATCGTTTACATTTATTGATTCTACACAAACTATTTTAGGGATTCTAAAAATATACAAATAAACAGGGGTTGATTCTTTTCTTAACTATTACAACAAATAATAGGAAATATAGGTCTACATAAAAAACATTTATAAGCACTGAATAAGATTCTCTGCTATCTGAAAAAAAGTTTTGGATAAGACATTGTCTTTAAAAAGGAAGAGTCTCTCGCCTTAAAGGTATATATAAATATTGACTATACAAGTTCCATTGTAGATAGAAGATTCACTTTAGGATATTGTAAGTTTCAAGGAAAAAATCTAGTAGCGCAGAAGAATAAGAAACAAAGTATTGTGGGATAAAGTTAAATTCAAGCTATGGCTTAAAGAATTGTGTGACTTTTATGGATGAAAATAAATATTGACAACCTTAAATTAAAATTCGTTAGTTCTATGAAACTATTATGTGATAACAAGTCCACTGCCAACATTGCCCATAATTAATATGATAAGACAAAATATAGAGAGATTGTTCTACGTTTCATTAAAGAGAAACCAGACAATGATCTCATCTATAACTTCTGTCCCTTCATGAGATCAACAAGCAAATATGTTTACTGAAGGATATAAAATTAGTAGCATATAATCTTATAATATGATGGATATCCATTCATCAGGTTGAGAAGGATTGTTGAAAATATTTCTTAATTATTAAGATTTAGTTATTGTTATTATTTTTGTTATTCTTTCTATGATTTCTAAAAGATAATCTTATTGTATGATTACACTCCTAATATACATGTAAATTATAACGTATAAAGAAATATTATAATTCATAATTTCAAGCGTATATAATTATTCGAATCCATTTTGTTTAATGTACCTTGCTTTTGATCTAAAGAACATATTGAGCAGAAAGAGCATAAAGAACGTTGTAAATGTTACTACACTCATACAATAACTGATATTTGGATGTGATGACCAATTAGGAGTTCGAATCCCCTTCATTTTGTTGTCGATTTCCTCATCCAACCATTAAAATTATCATAATAATTTTTTAAAATTATTTATGCTTTCAAAATTTTCAATGGGCTGTGTCAATTTCCCCAAGAAAATGGAGAGAATTCACTTTTCTCTTTGCCAATCGAGTTAAGACAACAAATTCTCACATTAATTTTTAACAAAAAGAAAACATCATAAACTCCTATTTTTTTGGTCGGGTATGATTTTATATTTTAGGTTTTTGTTCTTTTGCAACTTTATAAAGAAAGCATCATTATGTTTAAATGATTTCCACATTGTTAGAAATTGTTTCCCTTCAATTTCAGGGAATGTCTAATAAAGAGCCTGTAGCCTATATAATCTACCACTATGGCAACATACAGCATAACTCTCAAATGTCCTTGATCTGAAATGTATATCCAGCTTCAGCAAAATGAGATTTCACCAGTGCAAGAGATTTTGAGCGGTGAGAAATTTTATTCTTTTCTTCTTTGGCCATCTCTGCATATCTGCAATGCGTAAATGAAATAAATTAGCATTTGCAAGTAACTATGAAACATTTGAATAAAACATGACATGAAAGAAGGGCCAGAAACACGTTTGGTCATAGCCATCAGGTTGAAAAACAGGGTCCCATCCAAAATCATTAGGTCCTCTTGGAGGAACAATCTTCCCCTGACATAACAGCATAAAATGAGTTAGCCCTACGTATTAAATACTTTCTATTACATGATGTTCATATTAGGTGTGTAAATTGATCAACATTCTTCAAATTTGTTCAACTTTGAAACGTAATTATGCTAGCATCTCCTGAAGTTACATACATACACACCCACGTTTCATGTTTAACACACTAGTAAATTTTCCAGGTGGAAGAATAAATACATTCATTATCACCATTATCATCATCTTCATTGTACTCCATAAAATTTACCCATTTATGTAACTAGTGAAACACCTTTCACTCTCAATTTTAACGGGTAATTCAAAGAGATACCATAATTACAATTGGCAAACAGCAGAGGGATTCAAAGGGATACCATAGTTTTTCCAGAAAATGTGACAGGTTCACTATCTGGACCAAGTGCAAATGAAAATACACATAAGGCATAAGCTGACTTATCATCGTATGCCATCAATAAATTGTTGAGACCTGGAAAATGAATCAGAGGAATGAGTGAATCAAATTTAGCAAGGTATCCTGAAACCAAAGTACTAAAAACTAATCCAAAATAATGCAGTTAAGGCAGAACCTTCATGACCAATCTTCTGCAGAAACCATTTGCTGCATGATTTATTAAAGCAATTAGACAATGATCACTGGGAGTACATAAAAAATCCTGTTGCATCCTAATACTGATAATGAATGTGAGAAACTCACTTGCAAAATATGTATGTAACTATACATGTATTCAATGAAAGTAGCCAACATGGATTAGAATATTACACAAACATCTAGGCTTAGGAAATGGATAAATATAACAAATGACCGCCCAACCTACAGAATCACTTGACACATAAATCAGCAAGAGATTTATAACTAATACAAATTACATACCTCCTTTATTTTACCGAAATAGAACACAGCTACCCATTTACCGCAGCATCAAATATTTTGGGGATGGGAGGGAAATAAAAATAATGTAGTTATAAACCAAATCTAAAAAGGAGAGAGAGTATATCACATTAATAATTGAACTCCAAGTCCAATAAAAACAAGATATTTATAGGAATTTTAATTGGCAATAATTGTAGAAAATGCAAATATGTCCAGGGAACAGAAATAAAAAAGGACCATTTAACAAAGTTTTAAGCTTTTATACAATTCTAGTATTGTAGAAACAAAAAATTGTAATAAATCATTTCTGGAATACTCTAATGAAAATAGTAAATATTCTACTATGCTGCAACAATGACATCAACAAAATCCTATCCTCAAAATAAATGCCTAAAAAGTTAAAGAAAATAGAAAAACACGTTGATTATTTAACAAAATTAGACAGTTAGGAAATTAAGAAAAGGACAAATCAGACCCATGCTACAAGCCTCTCTTTATAGGTTTATTGCTGCATTTACAAGAAATAAACTCTTGCATGCGGCAATCTGATAGGAATTGATTATATTATTGAATTAAAAGAACAAACGCAGAGAATAACCCTGGTAGTACAGCAAATAGCAATGGATAACAGGAAGAAAACCACTGGTTAAAGAATGAAACTCCTATGGCAACAGCCACCTCGAATAACCTCCTTGATAATTTCTGCCTTCTGCCCTCTGTTCATCCTCCATATATCCCCTCTTCTCAGCTGCATCTTTCCTCTCTCTTCTCCTTGCCATGTAAGCTAATTTTAGTCTGTTAGAATCTTGCATAACGGCCTCCTTGCTCACCTTTCCCATTTTACCCCTCCTTTGATGTCTTTAATGGGAGTCCAATTGGCTTAGACCCAACAATACCCTCTCCATTGATGAACTTTGTCCTCAAGGTTGAAATGTGGAAATATAGCCTGCAGCAAATCAAATTCCTCCCAAGTACTATCTTTTTTAGGTAAATTCCTCCATTTAATCAAAACCTCCCAGCGACCATTCAATAATTTCTTGGCATCCAGCACCTCCTCAGGCTCAACCTGCAGCTCCAAGTTCTCTATTAAAAGTGGCAGCAATGCTTGGCTAGCTTGGCTGGTAGGGGGGGGCCTCTTGAGTTGGAACACATGAAAGACGGGATGCAAACGTGATGATTCCAGCAGCAAAAGTTTATAAGCATCAGCTCCTATCTTTTCTTCCACGTGAAAAGGGCCATAAAATCTGGGACTCAATTTTTCATTGATCCTCTTGGCCAACATTTTCAATTTTTATAGTCGGGCCTTTAAATATACCATATCCCCAATCTGGAATTCCACTTCTCGTCGTCTTTTATCCGCTTGTTCCTTCATTCTCATCTGTGCTCTCATTAAATGTTGCTTGAGCTCCTCTATGATACTATCCCAAAACCATAGCAGCTGGTCCACCTCAGCAACAACAGTGCTGTCCCGACAACAGGGAATAACCATGGGAGGATCACGGCTATCAAGTGCTGTGAAGGGAGTCATCTAGATGGAGGCATTGAATGATGAATTAAACCAACTCCCTCCACAGTAGCCATTTCACCCATTGACGAGGGTGGTCATTCACAAAACACCTCAAATACGCTTCAATAGTGCGGTTAGTCACTTTCGATTTGGCCATCCGTTTAAGGATAATATGTAGAACTGAATTTCAACCTCGTGCCCAAGAGACAAAATAGCTCCTTCCAGAATGAACTAATAAAAATTCTGTCTTGATCCGAAACTATGGAATTGGGAAATCCATGTAAATGCACAATTTCTTTCACAAACGCTGTTGCTACCTCCTTAAGTACGTATGGATGGAGTAAGGGAATGAAGTGGGCATATTTGCTTAATCTATCCACCACTACCATAATGTTGTCCGCTCCCTTCGTTTTTGGTAATCTGCCAATAAAATCCATCGAGATATCGTCCCACACCTGCACCGGAATTGGTAGAGGCTGAAGGAGCCCTGCTGGCTTCAAGGTTTCCTACTTATTCTGTTGACACATCTGACAATTAGCCACAAACCTCTCGACGTCTTGTTTCATCCTAGTCCAATAGAAAATCATAGCCAACCTCTTGTAAGTCCTTGTCACTCCAAAATGGCCACCCCAAGGAGACGCATGGAATTCCATCAACAATAGTGGAATTCATGCAGATTCCTTAGACAGGACCAGCCTCTGCTGAGACACTGAGTAGTGTGGGTAGGAACTAGGGTGTATCACCACTTGTTGCATAATTCCCCTTAAAAGCTCATCTCCCAAAACCTCTTCAGCCAGTTCTACTAAATCAGAGTTGGTGACCACTGATATGACACTATAATTCATTATTCGGGACAATGGTCTGCTGGCTTGTTTTCTAGCCTAGGCTTGTACTGAATTTCAAAATCAAAACCCATTGATTTGGTTACCCACTCGTTGCTCTAATAAGAATTTCAGACTCTTTTGATCAGTCCGAATAATAAAATGATGGCTAGCAGATATTGTCGCCACTTCTGAACAGCAAACACAATTGCCATTAATTCACGTTCATAAACCTATTTCACCTTATCCGGTCCAAGAGAGCTTAACTAAGAAAGGCCAAGGGTTTGCCCTGTTGCATTAAAACTGCCCCTAATCCATACCCTGAAGCATCAATTTCAACCATGAATGGTAAATCAAAGTTTGGCATTGCTAAGGTTCGCAGCACCTCAATTTCCCGCTTGAGCTTCTCAAATGCTGCTTGTGCTTCCTCTGACCATTTGAAATTATTTTTCTTTAGTAACTATGTTAAGGGTTTAGCAATAATTCCATAATTTCGTACAAAACGGCAGTAATACCCCGTCAAGCCCAAGAAGCCTCCTCAAACTGCGAATGTACTTAGGTTCTGGCAACTGTCTCATTGCAGAGATTTTTGCAGGGTCAGCAGAGATTCTAGCTGAGGAAATTACATGCCCAATATATTCTAACTTTGATTCCCCAAAACTGCACTTCTTGCCGTTGACCCACAGTTCTTGGTTTTTCAATAGCTAAAGAACTAAGCACAAATGATCAATGTATAAAGCGTAATTTGCACTATACACTAAAATGTCATAAAAAAACACTAATATAAATTTACGTAAATAAGGTTTAAAAATCTGCTTCATCAATGCTTGAAAGATTGAGGGAGCATTGGTTAATCCAAACTGCATTACCACATACTCGTAGTGCCCTTTGTGTGATCGGAAGATGGTTTTAGGGATGTCCACTTTATGTAAATAAGGTTTAAAAATCTGATTCATCAATGCTTGAAAGATTGAGGGAGCATTGGTTAATCCAAACGGCATTACCACATACTCGTAGTGCCCTTTGTGTGTTCGGAAGGCGGTTTTAGGGATGTCCTTTGGCCTCATACGTATTTGGTGGTAGCCGGATTTCAAATCGAGTTTTGAAAAGGTGGTTGCCCCCTAACTCATCCAACAGTTCTTCAATGACTGAAATTGGAAATTTGTTTGGGATGGTGATGCTATTAAGAGCGCAATAATCCACACAGAAACACCAGCTACTATCTTTCTTCTTAACTAGAATCAGTGGGCTAGAATAGCGACTAGTGCTCGGCCTGATCATTCCTGCTGCCAGCATATCCCTCACAAATTTTTCAATCTCTTCTTTGCGTTGATGCGGCTGTCGATAAGGGCGAATGTTAGGAATTGTAGCTCCTTCCTTCAAAATGATGGCATGGTCACACTCGCTCTACGGTGGCAGGGAAGTCCCTTTCTTGAATAGCTCACCAAACTCTCGTAATAACTCCTTCATAGCCTCAGGTGCGGAAATTGACATCTGAGTGGGTGCTTCAGAGCAGCTCACAGTCAGCATGCCCAACTCCACATAGTAAGCTTCTACCCCACCCCGAAGTTCCTTCCTTATTGCCTTTAATGAAGCCACAGTTCTCGACAACCCCACATCCCCTTTTATTTCAATAATCTTTCCATCTTTTTGCACTTCAATCAAGTGTTGTCGCAGATCAGCACTGAACTCCCCTAGACTTTTGAGCCACTCGTATGCCAGGATCACATCCTCACCCACCAAGTCAAATAGAAAAAAGTCCTGCACTACTTGTAAGTTGAGTAGTTCCAACATGACCCCCCTACAAACCCCATGACTTCCCAACCTCTGCCCATCCCCTACCTCGACGAAGTACCCTCTTGTAGCTTCCGTTTGTATATTCAGCTCCTCCACTAGTCTCGGAGATAAGAAATCATGGGATGCGCCGGAATCCATCATTACAATCACTTTCTTGCCCTAAATGGTTCCCCACAGCTTAAATGAATACTTGCAGGTCATCTCCACAATACTGCTCGTGTTTAGCTGAAGATTCACTTCCTCCTCCTCCTCTTCCTCCACGGAAACTCCACCCTGGTCCGCCTCCTCTTCTCCTAACAAGACCATGTGTAGCTGCTTGTTGAGGCAAACATGGCTGGGGGTGAACCTTTTGTCACAGCAAAAGCAAAGGCCTCTCTCTTTTTCATTTTCCTCCTCTTCGGTCAGCTGCTTGAACCCTAGACCTCTATGATTTGAGCTCGAAGGCGTGAAAGGATCAAATGAGCTATTGCAGTTCCCTTGGGCCTCGACCCAACCTCCATTAGTGCGAGCTGGGACCCAAAACCCTGAGGGTGAGTTGGGCTCCCGTCTCCCTGCCCAGTTTATTGTAGTCATTTCTTGGGCCCCTCCTCTTAAGGCCCAAT